CTTTGGAAATGATGGGCAAAGGCAAGTATGTTAGGAGATGAAAGTAGAGAAGCAGTGACAGACCAGATATTACAGGTCCTTATAGGCCATTGTAAGATATGTGTCTTTTACTCCAAGTGAGATCAGGAGAACCACTGACAGAATTTTGAACAGAGTGACATGAGTTGACATATGTTTCAACAGGATCTCTCTGGCTGCTGTGTTCACTTGAGGTTAGGTGGCAAGAATGGAAACAAAGAGCCCAGTGATGGGATTTACCCAGGCAAGAGATGATGGTTGCTTAGAATAGAAGGGTAGAACTGATGGCATTTTCTGGAATAATTTGTAATGAGGCAGAAAACATATTCTTGGATTTTGTGTAGTCTTCCCAACCAGACCCTCCTCAAAGAAAGAAACTATGTTGTTATCATTTTTTTTTTAATGTGTCTTCTACTTTAGCGTGTGAAAAGCACTCACTGAATACTCATTGACTGGTTGGTTAGTGAAGACTCAGTTCTTTCTGCTGGATTGAACATAATCATCATAGCATGCTGAATCAGAGTTTGTCATCAAATGATGTTTGAAGACCAAAAACAAATAGATGAGCCTGTTCAGACCCATTGATACACGTCAGATTACATTTCTACTATATGCTGAAGAACAACAAATGAATTAGAGCTAAGACAATTTGTTTGGATCCATCAGTATTAACAGTCATTTCTTGAAATGTAAATAATCATTAAATTAACTAAGCAAACATCATTTAGTCCCTACTAAGTGAAAAGCCGCATGGCAGAGATTCAAAGGCAAACAAGATACAGTTCTCAAAAAACACTGATATTCTAGTATGGCATGGAGAGTGCTAATTTTATAACTAAAGAAAGGGAGATGAATTTATCAACTAATATTCTAGTGTTGGATGAGAAGCATTAATAGACATACAGGATTGTAGGGGGGGAGATCTAAATATAGGGTATTCCTGGAACTAGTTCATTTCTCTATAACAAATTGGAAATCTAGTGTTTTGGTATAGAGGGGTCACTATTAATTCCAGGCCCAGCACAGTGGATGATAAGTGCTCTTTCTGGTGGTAGCAAAGTACCTGCTTCTAAACGTCATCCCAATGAATGAAGTATATATGCTTTATGTGGGTGTTACTCTTTATTTATTGTTACATGTATACATACACACACACATATAATCTATAATATATATAATGCTATATACAGACATCATTATGATATAAAAAATAATTTTTAATAATCTTCCATTGAATCACAATACAGAGAATATCATTTTTAGAAGGAAAAAAGAACTTAGAACTTTCACCCATTATTGTGTTTTCAGAATTTGGAATTTAAGCTTTTGTATCACCCAGAGCAGTAAATGATCTCACTAAAGAGACAGGAGATGTTTTATGTCATGAAAAATTGGAATAAAATCAATGTTCTTCTTTAATGCATCATAGGATATATTGCTTAAATATAGGATATAAACAATACAGTATGACAATCTACCTTTTACTAACTTTATTCACTGATGACTCAGTTTGCTAAAATTGTGACATAGTACCATAGTGGTTGCAGGTGTATATATGTATGACATTCAGATATTCTTACAGCTTCATAGGACATGTTACATTCTGTTTTAAAAGAGATTGCAATTAAAACTTAACATTGAGGGGCGCCTGGGTGGCTCAGTTGGTTAAGCGACTGCCTT